AAATAATAAATAATAGCGTAAATTTTGTAAAATTAAAAACTGAACAAATAAGTAATGGATTAGTTATGATTCAGGGAAATGATGGAAATTTTAATTACTTATTGGAAAGGAAAACTATTATACCAATTACTGGAAATAAAGAAATAACATTTAAGGAAAATCTCCACAAAAGTGGAGATAATAGATGAAGTAAATTCAGAATGAAATTTGAGTGATGTTAATTCACTTGATGATAATCATTCATTAAAAATTTTAAATGTTAATGCTACAAATGTAAAATGAAAACCTATAACTTTAGAACAAATTAAATTTAATTAAATTTAACAAAACAACAACAACAAAAATCTAGTTAATTTGTTAAAGAATTTCAGAGATTGCTTTGCATTAAATATATCAGAGTTAAGATGTACAAGGCTAACAAAAATGGATATTAAGAAAATTGAGGGATCAAAACAAAAATTCAGATCAAACAAAAATGAATCTTTATAGAACTCTTATAAGACTTATCATATTGTATGGTAGTAAATGCATTGATAAAAACAGAAGAAAAACTTCTAACCTTTAAAAGAAAAATACTGTGAAAAATATATGCCCATTTAGAGAAAATAATAGATGGAGAATTCTGTTTAACCATGAAATATATAGAAGATACAAACAACCTAATATTGTCTGAGTCATCAAATCCTATTGTATTAGGTGGTTTGGACATATTTTTAGATGTGACAATTTGAACCCTATTAAAATGGGACCTTTGTAACTGTAGAGGGTACCAGGAAAAGAGGAAGACCTTGCACAAGATGGATAGACTGTTTAGAGACAAATTTCAAGACATTAAAAATTTATTATTGGAGGATCGTAGCGACTAACTGGATCTGTTGGACAAGCTTATATTGAGAAGATCTTGGACTGTGATAGGCTGTAGTGCAATTTAAGAAGATGCTGAAACACCTGAACAATTTGCAGATGAATTCATTGAATACATTAACAGTGAAAAGTAATCTCCAGAACAAATTTATAATGCTGAAGAAGCTGGTCTTTCCTGTTAAATGTGCCTTGAAATACCTTGGCAACACCTGCAGAAGAGTTCATACCTGATATTTAAGATTTGAAAGTGATAAAGATTTTAGCATGAGTTAATGCTGAAGAAATGCAAAAATATAAGCTTTTTACAATCAGAAAAAATCATGACCTAGGGGATTTTATGAGTAAAGATTTTCCCCATTATTTATGATTCAAATAAAAGAGCATAGATGACACAAACATTAATAAATAATTGGTCTGAAAATCATCAACACTTTATATCAGTGGGTAATGGAAAAGTCATCCTGATTTCAGACAACTATTTGGCTACTACTTTGCTTAAAAGTTACAGTAAAAGGCAAAATCTCCATCTTATTCTTTTTTTCTCTTCAAATTGCACATCTATCATTCAGACGATAGATATCACAGTGCTGCCTGAGCTGAAATGCAGCTAAGAATTAACTTTTCTAAAAATCTATGCTAAATTTTTTGACCAGCAGCAAGACAACTGAAGAATTTTTGAAATATTTTAACCTAAAATCTGCTATGGAGCACACTTCAAGGTCATGGGAGGCGGAGTTTGTAAATATTTTAAAAATTAATTGGGATAATTATAGCCAGCTATCATATATTATATATAATATATTTATAGCCAGCTATCATATTCATGCTGGTAATTACGATGATGATGGCTGAAAATATGAAAGTAAAGGCAAAATTTTTTAATTAATAAAATTTCTAAAAACAATGGAAAAGCAATAAATGAGGATGACATGGAAGAAATTTTCCACTGCAATGACAATACCCCAATCATCAATCAACTAACGAACGGCAAAATCAGAAAATATAACTACTGATAGTCAAGAAAGTAGGTTGTTAAGAACTAAAAGATTTTCAACGATAAGTTTAGTGAAAATTCTCAACACAGAAATTACAGGACTTGAACAATGGAACTTTAAACAAGAAATTATGTTCATATAGAGTTAAGGAGAAAGTGTTTGCAGAATATGCATGGAAAAAATAACAATCAGGGGTAAGGAAAGAAGCAGTATAAAGATCAAAACTTCAACCTATAGCAAAAAAGGATGAAATGCATATACTTACATTGCTTGTGACTAGTGACTTTTATCAGAAGTGCTTGGAAATTTATTTTAAAAAATGTCACATTGTAATTTTAAGCTCCTGTACTGACAACCATTTGTAAATTCTCTTAATGAGGCTTATTTGCATAATCAAAATACTCTTAGTAAGAACAAGTAGATATACACAGATCTCTGTATTTTAAAAAAAAAAAAAAAAAATTCTGATTTCCTTTTTTTGTAACTTTGATTCAAATTTTATGAAGTCTCAAGTTTTTTAAAAAAAGAGTTCAAAATGGTGTTTATTATTTTCATCAAGTGAATTCATCTAAAACATAAAAAGGACTACTATTTCAGGGAAATATTTATTGCAAGGCTTGTAAGCCAAAAATCCACTGAAATAAATACAAAGCTGCATCTTGAATAAATAAATCTTTTCTGTATTTAATAAATAAAGCACATAAATCTAGATGTAGCATTAATTTGAAATGAATAATATCTCAGTAATTCTGTTCTGTTTTGTTTTGCCATTTCAAAAATAAGATTTTATGTTCTATATCTTTAATTTCTAGAGGACTTATTCTTAAATTTTCAAACATTACAATGAAATGAAGAACAGATGGCAATTTCTTTTTAATTTCAAGATTTTCTGTGTTTTATTTATTCATTTATGAAACTTAAATAGCAATATATTCAAGGTATTAAGATGAATTTTAAATTTTCAGATTGAAATTCCCCCCCCTTGCATGTATCAGTTTCTAATCAGTATTAAGAACAATTTTTTATCGGATTTAAATGCATGCAACTCCACAGACATGTTTGAACTCAATATTATATATAGACTGACAAGCCAAAACATTATGACCATCTATACATTTTTCAATGAACTTATCTCGATGATGTGGACAGCACATGATTAAGTGGGAATGGTATTTAACTGCTGCTGGAGAAGGTAAGGAATCATTCTAGAACTAACTTTTGTGAATCATGGGAAAGGCTGCTGATCTAAGCAAATTTCATAGAGGGCAGACTGTAATGGCTCAAAGACTTGGAACGAGTATCTTCGCAACTGCACGACTGGTAGGTTGTTCACAATTCACCATTGTTAGTATTTTTGGAAAAGTGGATAAATGATGGTGAAACCAGCAATAGATATCAAGGTGTTGGACGTCCATGCATCATCAAAGATAAAGTATGTTTGAGATTGTCCCACTTGGTACAGCAAAATCGTTGCCAGAGAGTGGCTCAGCTTACAGCCTAATATAATGCAGATCCAAGTGGAAATGTTTCAGAACACACAGTTCAGCAGACACTGTTGGACTGTGCAGTTGACCAAGCATTATTGTCAACTGCACCTACAACGGACTCGGGAACATCAAGACTGGACCATGGATAAGCAGAAGACAGTTGCTTGGGCAGATGAATCACATTTTCTCATTCATCACATAGATGGACATGTCAGTATATGCCATCTCCCAGGTGAACAGTTGCTCCCCTCCCCCCGTACAGCAGGACATACACAGGTTAGTAGTGGCAGTATTACACTTTGGGTGCCATTTCAGAATATTTCGCTCTAAGACGAAAACCAGAGACGTTCTCATGGGCATCTCTGGTACCCTTAGTTGTGGTAAAACAGAGAATGAAAGCTCTGGACTATCTGAATATAACTGCAGATCAATTGTACCCTTACATGGCATCTGTTTTCCCAATTGGAGATGGAATCTTCTAGCAGGACAATGCCCTATGTCACAAGGCTCGAACTGGGTTGGCGTGGTTCAAAGAGCATAATGATGAATGCCAAGTATCACAAGGCTGCCCTATGTCACAAGACTCGAACTGGGTTGGCGTGGTTCAAAGAGCATAATGATGAATTCCAAGTATCACAAGGCTCGAAATGGGTTGGTGTGGTTCGAAGAGCATAAGGATGTACTGTCCTGGCCACCTAACTCGTAGGATCTAAACTGAATAGGGCCCATTTGGGATGTCATGGAGTGACAGCTCAGAGCTCAAATACCACGTCAGAATATCTGACGTGGCTTAGATATTTGATACAACTTGTTTCCAGTCATGTACCAAGAACTTGTGGTATCCATACCAAGGCAAGTTGCAGCCGTTTTTCAGGCCAAAGGTCGCACAATGTATTATTTAGTAGGTGGTCATAATGTTTTGGTTCCTCAGTGTATATGTATATATAAGATTTTTTTTCAGCATGTAAGCTTGAAGTAACTTGAAAAGAGCCTAAATTTTAAGTCATTCTAAAACAGCTTTAAAAGGGTATAAATTTGAAAATGAATACTTGATTTTGCACACAGTTATTTTATTTCATATCTTAAAGAATAAAATAATGACCAACTGATAAAATAGGAGCGAAAAGAGCTATCTAATAGATTCTATTACCTTTAATTTTCAAAAGAAATCTATCACTTAAAAGAATGCAACATATCCCTACACTATTGTCACAAATGGTGTTTTAGAGAGAAATGTTCTAAAATACTTTTTTTAAAGTGCACAACATGGCATATAATCTAGTTCTTTACACTTGATTTTTGACATAATCCTAGATGAAGACTTGAGTTCCTCTCATAAGTATATGGTTTGGTCACACTTGAGATCCTAGAAATAATGGCACAAGAGATGTATGCCTAACTTGAATGAGTAGCTACATATCTCTTAGACAACTAGCGAGGTGAGTTTACTAAATTAGCTTATGAGGATTAATTGATTTGGATTAAAGAACATTCAGACATACTGTTGATAGCTTCAAACATAAATTATTTAAAACAAGATGAAGATGTTTTTCACATGTAACATGAAATACACAAAGCAACAGTACAGATCATTGTTTCAGAAATCATCATAATATAGAAGGAGTTTATAAACAAAGCAAATTAAATTAGTTACCTCTTCATTCATATACATTAACAAAAGTGCAGCAATTTGACTCATCCCCTGACAATATCCAATTTCCTGCAATATAACATATTTCACTTAATAGAAATAACATGTGCAATATTTCGAAGTTCTGTAGATGCAGCAGAACTGTTTAGTCAAGATTTGAGGTTAAAACTATACAGTAGACTCCCGATTATCCGCGCCTGCCGCACAAAGGTTTTTTTTTTTTTAAAAAAAACAAGCATAAAGCAAAGAAATTAAAAATGTTCACAAAACTGAGTGAAACGTTAAATTTGCTAACATCGTGCTTATTTATGGCAAAAATATCCCAGGCCTTCTCGGAACCTTCCCCTCTGATGAGTAAGTGATTTCTTACTCACCCTTGCAGTGCCCGCTCTCCTCTTAAGTGCTTCCGCAATGAAAACGCGAAAAACTATGAAGGGTTCTACCTTTGATGAGCTAGACACGGCATTGACAGAGATGGTTAGCTCAAGTTTGAAAAGAAGGTACTCCTGTAAATGGTCCTTATCATTGCGGCGAAGGCAAAAACCTTCTTTTGAGTTGTTAGGCCTGAAAGGTAAATTTTGATGCATCTTCTGGCTGGTTGATTCGTTTTAACCAGCGACATGGAAATTCGAGATATTGGACTTCATGGGGAGAAATTTAGTGGTGACCAAACAAGCAGCCGACTATTTCCACCATGAATTTGAAGAATTTGTTTTAAGAAAAGAGCCATCTTTTAAACAAATTTACAATGCCAACAAATCGGGACTTTTGTGGAAATGTCTTCCTACTTGCACTTTAGCATTTGAAAGTGAAAGTAAAGCGGTGGGTCATAGAAGCAGCAAGGAAAGGATCACTACCATGTCTTGCAGTAACGATATCGGAGGACATAAACTTACACTTGTTGTCATTGTAAAGTAAAAAAAAACCTAGATCTTTCAAAAGCACAGATAGTACTTTAACCAAAAAAAGGATGGATGAACCGAAACATTTTTCAAGAATGGTTCGAAAAAATCTTTGTTCTTCAAGCGCGTAAACATCTTAAATAAAAAAAACCTGCCTAAAGAAGCTGTGCTATTGATTGACAACGCACCTTCTCATCCCAGCAACAAGCGTGCTTCTGATGGAGCACGCTTGTTGATGCACGCTTCTGATGGAGCAAGTCTTCTGATGGACAAATTTTTGCAAAGTTTCTCCCCCAAAACGTTACTGCGCTAATCCAACCCATGGACCAGGGCAGCCATTGCAACAATGAAGAAAACATACCGAACCAAGCTGCTAATGACCAAAATTGAAGAAGGTTATCATCTGAAAGAGTTTTGGAAACACTACACAATCTTGGACAGCATCTACGATATTGCATCTGCATGGGACTCAGTGAAACCGTCAACCCTCATAAAATCATGTAGAAAACTCATGCCTAATGTTGAAGCCAACAACAACCTAACCCCTTTGAGTTGTGAAGAAGAGAATGAAGATGTAGACACGCCCCTGGCAACTCTTGCCGATATGGTGAAAACTGTTCCGGGTGGTGAGAACGTCGATGCTGAAAACATTAACGAGTGGTTGGAGTGGGACATCAACGAACCTGGCTTCGAACGTTTGACAGAGGACGAAATTGTGAAGCAAGCAAGGGGAGAGACCGAGAATAAAGGACAGCGAAGTGAAGGCAAAGAAGAGCCCACTGCGCAGATGCGGAAGACTCACGAAGCGGCTTTGCAACAAGTCGACGGACTGCTGAGCTATTTGGAAGAACAAGATGACACGGAGTTGGCCGAGAAACTTATGCTACAAAAAATGCAATCTCGGATCAAGAGAAAATGCTTCCAAAGCAAGAAGCAAACACAAATGACTGATTTCTTCAAAAACGTGTAGTTTTACAGTTATGCTATTGTAATTACATAATACATTACAACATTAAAACAGTACATATGTATTAATTTTTCTGTGTATCCTTGACGCCCCTCGTAAGTACAAAGCACTTTTCTGTTTTCATTAACAAAATGCATTTTAGGTTAGTTTTGATTGATATACTACAATATTAAGCATTAGTTAAACATTTCCTGCTGTTTATTTTACGTTTTATTGTACATAAAACGATTTTGCAAAGTTGGAATGACTGTTTTCTCTTTTGCTATACCCGTTTTTAGTTTTTTTCGGATTATCCGCAATTTTTGTTATTCACGGCGACCGCGCCACCCAATTGCGCGGATAATCGAGAGTGTACTGTATTATAAAAGTAAACAAAACAGGATCTTACAAACAATGAATGATGCATACATAATTCAGCTTTGTCCTATAATGTGCTTATAACCAATTACGTAATTCCAATGGCGACACTTTGGATACAGTTTCTTATACAATGAACGCAAATAGTTTCCCACACTGAGAATGAAGACAAAAAAAGTAATGGTATCTAAAGCTGACTCATTACATGCGTTAGAATGCTGTCTGAAATCTTTTCATGAAAATTTCTAACTCTACTGACATGAAGCTATCAGACTTTCCAGTTACAATAACCATGAAATTTTCAGGGAAGATCAAGATTTAATCCGCATTCCAGTTCTAGCAGATAGGCTCTTTTCATGGAGATTTAATGGTTTTTCCTCATGTGGAATGTGGATACAAGCCAATTTCTCTTGCCCTTCATGAAGCCATTCCTCTCCTTAGACAGATTGATCATATGCTTTGTCATAATCAAATAAACCAAAGTAGACCTCCAGAATAAGGTACAAAAAGTCCTGAGTGCATCCATATTATTTGCATCCATGGGCAACACTTCTAACAGGACAACTTCCAACCTAAGGCTATTGCCAAATGGAATTAAGTACCATCCCGCCAGTAACGAACTACAATGTAACAATGCCACAGCCAAGGTGCAGACATGACAGTACCAGTATGATACCTGCCAAGCCTGAACCATCCTGAGAATAAACTCGGGTTCTAGTCCTGTGAGGAGTGATTATATACCCTTGTGGTTGAGACTGCCTAAGTACAGATCCTAGCCAGTACTTTCCAGGAATTCTCCTGAGTCAACTCTGCTGTATCAAACTGGCTTGACCCACAGCAGAAGGAAAGCGAAAGAAAACATTTTGAAACTTTTGAATGACACATTCTGCAACATTCTTCTCTTCCTTGTTTAAATGTGAATTCTACAATAACTACGATATAATGCTCTCTGAAGATGCAGATTCTGAAGTTTTACTCTTTCATTAAACTCTGTTCAAGAAAACATATTGTGAGTTACCAAGTCATATGATAAGGTACATTTCCTGGAAGGTAGTATGAGGGCTCACACAATAATAATTGCTTGACTAGTGAAACAGAATATTGGCATATAACTGCTAACAATTACTGCTGTCAAGTAATAAATATATTGTACAGTTGCCCAAATGGGTAATCATTATGTTGTTGTTCAAATATTAGTGACAGAGGTGATATAAAAGTAACCAACAGACAAGATGGTTTCAATATACATCTACAAGCACATTGCAAAAGAGTCATGTATCTTCTTGAAATAACAATCCTTAGCTGCAACTGCCTGAAAATACAATATTAAACACAGTGTGCATATTGTCATGGCTCAAGACAGAAGGTACAATGGAACACAAAGTATCACAAATTCAGCAGCATATGTACACCAAATTACAGAAGGCGTATAACATACAACTTGCTTCTAGCATTTAAAGAAGTGAAAGAAAGAATCAAAAATCCCAATTTTAAATGCAGCACATACTTTCTTTACTATCTCAAATGCCTCTACTATTCTGGTGAAATGTTTTACCGCTTGCAACACATGTAATGCTTGTAATGTAATTTCATACTTGGTGATGCACATATCAACTTTGATTATAACCCTTGCCTTCTTCCATCACAATACCATGCAATAGATTGCATGCATGAGTTGTGCAACATTTTGATGGGACTATGATCTCATTATTTGACAGAATGCCTCAAACTTCACAGATAAATAATGTTTGCCAATACATTACTGTAAAATTTCCGTGTGCACATCCTGTTTTACAGTGGAAGGCAATTGTGATATGCCACAGTCTGCAGTTGTTTTGACAACACACTTGATCATAGCTGAAAGTTTCAGGACAATTGTTCTCTTGAATTTTGATAGCTTTTCTTGCATGTAAAATTTCAAATCTGTTAACAATTTAAACGGTTACCTTCGACCTCAAAAGAAAAGAAATCGGGTATTACGATTTTCCAAAATCTATTTTGATTTCATTTACACTTCTATCCCAAGTTATATAAATAAATATGTAAATAATTTTTAAATAAAATGTCACTATTTATTCACATTTCAATTGCACAAACTAAATTACATGTTGAATGTTTAAAATTTTAAATTGAATGGCAGAACTTGTTTTAAAATATTTGCTTTTCTTCTCATCATATTGAATAACTTGATTATTATTATTTTGCTTTAAAATATTTGCTGCATATTTGGTTATGTGGTGTACCAAGAACTTAATCGCAATCGAACTTGAAGCTGGCGCAGTGCCAAGCATGTGAAACTATTGGAAACCAGAATGCTTGCAGTAAGTGTTGTACGTGTGTATGCGAATGATATGCTTTGTATATAATAAAATGTTTTGTGTAATAATTACCTACTAAAGACAGAAAATCTGCATGCATGCATTTGAATCCTATCCTCATCACCAGATTTTCTGTGCCTTTAGCGCGTAATTATTACACAATATACTGTATTTAATTACAAGACACTTTACTATATACAAAACACATCATCATTCATATACATATGTACAACTCTTACTGCTGGCATGCTCCGTCTTGGGCCTGGTTTGCAATAGCTTTGTGCGCTTGGTGCTGTGCCAGCTTTAATAGTTCAATTACGATTAGGTTATCAATACACCACAGGTTATTTAGCTCATAGGGTCACTTTTATCAAGCCCCTAAGGGTGGCCTTTTGAAAAAGTTTTGATTTCATACTTGCATTTTTCACTATGCATCACAGTCATGATTAAAAAAAGTATTTACCATATTATAAACTGAATATGCTGCTAGCACATTGAAAAGGGCTTGCTGCCTATAAAAAAAAATGTTAAATTAGGTATTAAAATATTACATCAAAAATACTAAATAATATCGAAAAATCTTATCAATCTATTTACTTACTTAACACTGTATCTTTCTCGGAACATTATATGATTCCGATATGTACGGTTTACATCTAAATCTATCTGCCTAATATCAGGAGAAAATAATTTTGCTTTTTCCCGCATTTCCTGAAAAGTATTTTCATAGAATCAAGTACATCATCAGATAAAATACGTTTTTTTACTTAATCATGTTACGTTATTGTTATGAACACTTTTATAAAAATGTGAGAAACATTCTTACCCTGTACTTTCCTTCTTGTTCTTGTTTAATCTGCGTAACTTCCAATACTCTACACCACACCTCACCACGTATAGCATTGGGAATACCTTTATATATACGCCTCCTCAGCTAAAAGAGTAAATCTTTCAGAACCAGATCAAATTCAAACTACAGTGCATCACTTACTAACAGCCTACAGAACTATAATAAATTAATAAGAAAGATCAATTTTTAAGCATGCAATAGATGGCTCCACAGTCATTTTTAACAAACTCTGAATAAGGTTGCTGGTTTGGCACAGTGCATTATCTTGGGTGCTCTTGGTATCACTTAAATAATTGGGAAATCACATAGAAGAATCACAGCAAATTCAGATAACTTCATTGTCACTGCTTTTCTGAAAATTCCACACACAATATGATAAGATGGTCTCAGTCTTACATCACTGTCTTACAGGAAAATGCATCTACTCTGAGTTACTACCATTAATACATTTTTCATTTTGAGACAGGCCTTTTCTGAATTTTTAGCCAATAAAATGCCTACCAAATTTGTGAAGGAAAAAAATTTCTTAAAAAGTATAAAATTAATTTTACAGAGAAAACTAACACATATCTGAACATTTTGAAAGAATTTGATGGAAAGAAAACAGCTATGATAAAAAAAAACAGATATACAAAATTAATTTTGACATAATTAGAGTGCTTGTTTGTTTTCCTAGAAATTAATTCAGAAATTCTGCTTTATTTATATTTATTCAATTGCTTAAATTTCAAAATCAATATTCTCAAAAAATGAAAGGCAAACACACTTTAAGCCATGACATATTGAAGAAATATTTCATTTTAATGCTATTTTTCTCCATTATATAATTTTGATATACTGTCATTATTTTAATGGCATGGCAATAAAATTATTGTACTTGTTAAAAAAACTGTGCACAAATTATAGAACAAAACTTTTAGTAGATACAAATTGATTTAAAAATCATCAAAATACTGGCAAGTCTCTAAATTACACAACGCAAAACAAAACAATTTATACTACAGAAAGGAAACGGGTCTGTTTTTGATGCAATACACAGAATGAATTACGAATTCTGCCAAGACTACGTACTTCATACAAATCTGGTGATAAATTGCCAAATCAGCATAATTTTTAGCATCTTTGCTATAAACTGAAAAATGTGTAAAAAAACAAAATTTTTCACACATAAAATTTTAAAACTAAGCAATTTACATAAAAATTATGAAAAATTCATGAAAGCCGGCAATTATGCATTAATAAAGGACTTACAAATTTTGCTAGAACCTGTCATGTGTCCCAGTTGCTAAAGTCAACCCTTTATTTTTTGACCTTCCTATTGTTTTTTTTAACTGGTCACTTCCTTCCCCAGGGAATGTTCTAGATGGTCCTCACTATTTGTAATGGTCCTGGAGCAGGGGCAGTTAACTCCTGCAGAAATATGTGGCTTTACCCAGATGGTACTTTTCTATTAAAATCACACTGCGCATTTTCGGCTCCATATTAGCACACTTTAAATTAATTTCTTTCTCCATGCCTTTGGCTCTATACTAGATTTTTTTTTAAAACAAAACATTTCTATTTTGATTTTTCAAGCTTTTTTCCCTTTTCACAAAATCTCAGTTGGGTTTTTTTTTTTTTTTTTTTTTTTTTTTTTTTTCTGTTTTCATCCTAGAAATCCCCACACACATATGCGCATGCGCACACTCACACACACACACACACACAAAAAAAAAATAAATAAAATAAAATAAAATAAATAAATAAATAAAATAAAATCTTGAAAAAATATAGCTATATTTTTTACAGCTTAACACCATGAACAACTTGGATTTGGGGATCTGTCATCTGTATTTAAACAGCCTTTATTAATTAAATTTGTATATTTACTTACTTTAGGGTCTATTTTCATAAAATTACATTTATATTATTAAAGAAAGTAAGACAGCAAAATATCGTAAATTATAAGCTAATATATACCAAGTGACAAAAAATTCTTATGACCAGATAAAGCCGGCCATGGCGCTCAGAGAGTTAAAAGACTAAGTTAAAAACACAAAACAAAAATGAAAAATAATAGTAGTTAATAAACATTTTTCTGAAAAGAAGTAACAAAAGAAATGCATGATCTAGCAAATTGTGTTTGTGTTCCGAAACCTTTTCCTTCCTGGTATGTACAAAGGCCACATAGCCATTTTGTCTTGGAGGCACATTTTAATTGAGGTGGTTATTTGAATATAGTCTTTCTTTGTGAAGAAATCTTTCTAAGGCCAGCTTTGTTTACTTCTTGGCAAATCTTAACTTTCAAAAAAAAAAAAAAAAAAAAAAAAAAAAAAAAAAAAACCACTACATTTAAAAAAAACTATGATTAGATATAAAAAAAAATTGCATGAACGATGTTAATAAAGACCACTATTACTGGGAAAGAAACTAAACAAAACAGGCCCCATTTGATATCAAAGAAATACCCCCCCCAAAAAAGCCAAATAGCATAGCTTTAATGCAAAAGTATATTTCCCCATGATCACTAGATTTTTTGCTGTCCAATGCAATCTTTCAAGCTTGTAAATTCTGCTGCCTGGTGTTTATCCAAATTCTAAAAAATCTTGCCACACGATGTGGCAACACTGATCTCACAAGCTTGGGCACTGACCTTCCCCACTGGATTTAGAATAATCTTAATACTGGCAGACATTTTTAGAACATCCTCTGCCTTTACATGTGCCCTATTCATACCTTTCGCCCATACCCATTAAGACTTTTCTGTACCAAGAGTTACTGTGCAAGGGGAGTATAACCTTCACAGAGTCTGACCTTTGACTTCCTTTAAGGTCAAGTTTTCACCAGAATAGTTTGGAGTACAGCCATAAGATCAAGACTGATCTCAAAGAAACATTTTTTCAACATTGACAGACACAAATCTTGTTGATAATATCTGTTATGAAAGGCTGGGCGTACAACACCAAAACTTTCATTCTGGTTCAGCTGATTGTTCCTCACTGTTTAAAATGGCAGTTTCCAATGGCTCTGTTTAAAGCCACATGATTTGAATTCTATAATCATTCAAACATTAATTCACAATTAGAATAGCAATCACATAAAAGGGATGGAAATGACAAATGAGCAAACTTAAGAGCCTCTGTAAGTTTTGGAAAAAACCAAGTACTTTTTACTTTGTCTCATTAAATTAACTGCTTCTTGTGACACAGCAACTCCAGTGAGATAATAATTAAGTGCTTATTGTGACACAGTAACTTAACTGAGATAATAATCCTCTTAATTAAACATTCTTAACATAACAAAAATTGTTTACCTACATCAAGATTATGTATCCTCAAAATTATATACTGTGTGACTTATTGCCCTTTATTAATCACTACTTAGAAACTAACAATATTAAGTTTTCCCATTTAGATGTTGTTATCTTTCACTATGGTATCAACTGTTATTGCCTTTCCTTGATGAGCATTTTGAAATCCACAGGATCACTAGAAAATTCTATTAGTCTCTAAATAATTATGAACACAACCAAGCCTCACCAGTGGCCAACTTGTTTAAGACCACTTTAGTTTGACCTGTGTTCGATCCCAGGCGAACGGGTTTGCTGTATGGAGGACATCCCTTCATTTAAGCTGAAGCATTTATAAGTACTTTTCTGTAAAAATAAATGTACTTAAATAAGTAAGTACTTTTCCGTAAAAATACAAGAGAAATGCTTTCACATTTTGAATTATTTTTCTTAGTGTGCATAAATATCTACATACTAGGAAGGATTATTTTATCTTTTTTAACCCCTTCACGCCGACTGTCATGTATACGTGCCAGCAACGAACACACTTACCTACCGGCCGACACGCAGGCGTGCCAGAGCATTTTTGCGTTTACTACCGACTGTCACGTATTTGTGCCAGTACCCTGGAACGTTTTTCAAACTATAATTTCTGCCACAAGATGGCACTGTATGTCCATATGGTTTCAGATACATGTACATTAGACCTTCTACTAGAAATGAGAGAAGCATGACTCATACAGGTGTTTTTGATTATATAAACAAACGAGGAACTAAATGTTTCCGAATGGCGTGATTTATGATGTCTCTTTAAATCGCACTTTATTCGCACGTGGTAGTTGTTTAGTTAAGTAGTAGAAGTTTTATATGCGCTAAAGCGTTGAGTATTTTGGTTTACAGTTCAGTTTTTAGAAAATAATTAGATCTTGTTAGACGTGAATCTTTCTGTTTTTACCGTTTCAATGTCGAAGCATCGAAAATGTTTAACAGAGCATGAAATAGCAGAAATGATGCAAAATATTTCAGATATTGATTCTGAAAGATTAACTGAAAGACATTTTCCAAAACTTTGTTCAGAAGAGACTGATAAGAAAATGAGACGATGATGCTTCATTCGTTCACATTCCCGGAAAAATCCTCCAAAACGGCAAATGAGTTATTACGAGTTCAAGGAATGTAACGTAGGACTGTGTGTAGATCCCTGTTTTCAAATTTTTCATACGAAAAGAGAATTTTAAGTAATATATTTGGTTTTTCAGATGTATAATGTTAAAAGTCATAAAATGGTGGTGAGTAATTAAAATAAAATGTGTAAAATATGCATTTAAACAAGAAATAAGGTAATTGAAGTATATATATATAAAAATATCTATAAAGCATAAGCCGTTTAAATACTCTATAGAGCATTATTAAACAATGCGTTGATACTTCAGAAATTTCCTAGATTTAGGCTTAGTAGCAAAAAAGCTCCCGGCCCTGGAGAGACGCTCGCGGAAGACACTGCCGGCCTCCGCGATAAGCGCGCATTTTTGCTACCCGGCTCGAAAGGGTTAATCGTCATATGAGTATATAATGTCTTTAGACATATGTGCATGTGTGTGTTTTTGGGTGGCTGCATGTATAAAGTATCTATTATAATAATGATTAAATTACAGTGCTGCAGTATACAAGACAAAACCAGTGCAATGCTTTCTAGCAGATACAGGTGAAGAACAGATCATCAGCTATGATAGCACTGTTCAGTGGCCTCTGTGACCACCAAACGTCATTCTGTTGGATTTCTCCTGTTTGTATATATATAAGATCAAGTATATGAGATATCATCTCCTAGTCTCCAGGATCTATGCCACTGTACCAAAGGTGCATGAAAAGATACTTTTGTAAATGCGAACACTCAGTGACCAATGATAACTTCTTTGAACATTATGGACATTAAACTGTAAGCAATGGGAGGCAATCCATAGGTCTTGTTTGATTGGATGATGTTATTAAGGTGTCTTGAAATAACATATTGTTTACCTATTAAGTTACATTTTGTACTCATGCCTATGCCTTTATTCTTCAAATGTAGCAAAATGTTGTGCATTGGTTTTGGACATTTTAGGCTGTGCAAGCAACTTATAATTGTACCTGTAAGCATAATATATGTTTTCAAATCAAATCAATAATGCTCATAATTTCATAATTGATATTTTTTCGCATCTCTGATGGTTTCTATGACAGGATAAGTTCTGATTTTGACCAAAGGGGGCAATTCAACTGGTCCTTTTGAGTGGTACAGTTCTTTTACTAATACCTATACATTACATTCATAGCTGTAGCTGACTCTGTTCATCAGTTATTTAGGGATGGACAGAATTTTTTATTTTCTCTGCATCTTTAAGTAGCTTTATAAAAATATCAGCTTCCTAAAAGTGTTATAATATATGCACATATTTCTTACAATCTACTCACATAATGATATAAAACTAAGGGTTTTAGTATACTTCAAGAAAATAAAATACTTCATACAAGAAATAAGGACAAAAAATTTACTTTTCTTTCAACAGAACAGAATTTCAATATCACATAATTCTAAATGAAAAACTAAGCTTCATAATTTAAACAATACAAAATACGAAAATTTAGACAACAGTATAATTTAAAAATTTGCAACTACAGTTCAGACAAAGAATCTTAGGAAGTATTAAGCGTACACAAGATACAATTAGTAAAATGCAAATGATAATAAAATTTTTAACATTATAAAAGAAAAAAATTACTTTTTCTCCACCACAGTATTTGTCCCAGTTCTTCAACATTTTAAGCCACTTGTTCAGTCTTTCACTTTCCAGCTCACGTACCTTAATAGAAAATCTCTTACTAATGTTGACTACATTCACAATGTTTGCAGAAAATCCATAAAGCAATATTATAAATAAAATATTTTGCTTATCTTTTTTTCTTGTAAAATGATAAACAATATTGCTTCATTACTAATAATGCATGATTTAATCAAATGATCACATAATCTAATATATATATTTTAAAGATAGCATAATCAGAACAAACCTTCGTTTCATGAGCTGTAAGCTTCTCGGGGAGACGATGATCACTGTAAAATAGCAAATTAATTCAATTTAAAAATTTCCAAAGTGCAATAATCTCTAGAATACAATGTTAATAAGCTTTTAATAACAAAACTTTAATAAATTTCATCTTTCATATAATAATAATTTATGCTTAATTAAAATTTAATAATATAAAACTTTCTTTTCTATAAGAAATTCACAAAGTAACTGCAACAAATTCAAAAATGATTCCACTCACGCTATGATGTTATCTGTTTAATGCTATGCATAATACAGGGTGTTTATAAATCAACAGCAAGCTTTTAAAAATTAACAATAAATTGATTTATTACTTTATATGGGCAAACCTTATATCATAAGCAGGAACAACAGTCAAAGTTTTTTGTGCATTAATCACAATCCTTCAATGTGTGCACTCTTGGTCACATGACCCACATGTACATGGTAATTAAATTCTTCCCATACTCAGTATAGAATGTCGGACATTACAGCCTGAACTGCATGCTTTATTTGATCACAAACTACCTTAAGAGGCACAGGCATTGGCGATACATAAACTGGGTCTTTAAAAAACACCTAAAGAAAGAAACTGCATGGTGTTAAATATTGAGAACAGAGTGTCCAGGGAAGAAGGTTTTTGTCTGCTGTTGCAGCACGTTCAATCCAGAATGTGCAATTGGTAAAGAACATGATTAAGAAGCTCTCATGCCTTCCTGTAAAAATGGGGTGGAGCACAGTCCATTTGCAAAATGTAATCATCATAATTGGTGTTCAGCTAGGGTAACAGCCAGGTTTCCATCATGTCTAAAAATGAATCACCAACCATAATTTCTTCTTCAAAGAAAAATGGGTGGTGCACTTTCTCGCGAGACAGAAAATGTGCATAAAAGTCATGCTGCATTGAAACCACATATCTGGACACCTCAATATGGAGCACACTGAAAGCCTTTTCCTGCTGTGGTGCTATCTTCGAAATTGATGCTGCAGCTGAGCAGTAAGCATAACAGGCAAACAGCAGGTAACACATGAGAAACTTGAACAGTTGCAAATGCTTACAATGTAGGTTTCACATGGGTAAAGTAATAAAATGATTTATTACCGCATTTGACGGCACAAAGACGCACTTTTTTTCCTAAATTTGGTCTCAAAAAAGTTACCTGCATCATATACGTGAAGGACACAGGTTAACTTTCAATACTGAGTGCTATTTTTAGCCCGGATAAAGGTCTAGACACACATAACTTTTTCTACATCTACATGTGTGTGGCCTTCTAAATAAGGGTGCGTCTTATATGCCAGTGCATTTTATATGCCGTCAAATATGGTATTAATTTTTAAAATCGCCCCATTCATTTATAAACACCCTGCATAGTAAGATACTGAGCACTGCAGCTGCATTGCTGGAATGTAGCTTTTGATGCAAAATACAATTTGAAATGTTCCAAGATGAATTCTAAAAGCATGTTACTAACATATCTAAACTGACCACCAAATCAATACTTTTCTTTATCATGCATTATACATTCATGAAAGAGAACAAACACTAACTGTTTTGCATATGGACCACTTTCAGAAGTTGAAGAAATTTTCAAACAAGCTTGTCTTAGCACATTTATGGGTTCTGTAACCATAGATCTATTACTGAAATTGCATTCAACAAAGAAATTTATTAAATTACAGTGTATTTCTAGACGAATTTCTTTAAAATTTTAACTGCAACATGCATACAAATTTCTGAGAATATTTTATATAATTGCACACAAGCTCTAGAATAAAAACTTCGTAAATAATTTTGGTAACTTCAATGTACCATTAAAGCAGTTGTAGAACTTTATAAGAATAAAATTTTTCTTTTCACTGTTTCTCTTGCTATTAAAAGTGCAGCAATGTAAATTTATCAAAGATGTAACTTAAAAGGAAGAAATGATTAAACACTGCTGCAATATGCCCAGCATGGACAGCATAAAATTTTATAAGTGGATCAGTGATATGTCAGTCCATACTGTTTGATGTGATGCTAAAATTCATTGCAAATCTCTCAAATGAGGGTGCATAACTTGCTAACCATTAACTTAGCATGGACCCCACATACTTGAGTGGCGATATAGACAATGAATAAAAATTTCTCAGTAGTAATGGCAGATGACAAATATTCAACTATTTTTAGACAGGGAGTGCTTGTTGTGTACTATCTTCACATATCACCTAGAACCTCTGATGATCATATACTATCATCAGTGCATCCATGCCACCAGTGAATCTAATCTAAGTACTGTACAGGTTCCAAAACCTCATTCATAGAAGTTCCAGCAATGCACACAACACATATGCAGTTGTGAAGTTCAGTGCCAAAGTTTATGTGCAAGACCTTTTCCCCACAACATGTATAAATTTAACAATATATTGTTGAGTAAGACAAAGTAAAAGCCCTCAAAATATTCATGTCATATATTTATAAATTACACAAAAACCAGAAAATTAAACTTTTTACAGGAATGGCCAAGTTTTAGGACATGGCAGCAATTTAATCCTGTGCTTAAAAAGTAATATAAATATATATGTTACAAAAATAAAAACTAAACATAAAAAACCGATTATTTGTTGCAACGCTTTCTTAGTGCTGAATATAACAGAATACACAAGAATAAAAAAAATTACACTTATGTTGGAATAATTTGTCAACTAAACATTTCCAGAACATGCAGATGTTATACTTATTTTAAAATCTAGAAAGTTTTACAAGTATTGAGTGTTTTTTCTTTTTCTTTCTTTTTTTTTTTTTTTAATTTCAAAATTTGCCCACATTGGTGAAACTTCTAAAAAGTGTGTGTACTTAACATAAATTCTGTTCAGTTTATCAAGCAAAATTATTTTCTTTAAAAGTCATTTTAAAGCAATTAACGAAACAGAAAATCTTGCAAAATCAAGTAACTATCCCATTCATCTGCCCATCAACGGCTGAGTATCTGAAGCTCCTAACTGAAAACTGACTCTGAGTTCAAGTTTCGGAAATGTGCAAAAGACAAATAAATGCAATTTTTGGTCTTCATATTTTGGGTCTTTTCCTCAAGTAATGTATATAAAAGCAAGACTGCACTACAAGATACTTTGTGAAGATATATTTTCTTCATAGATAACCCTTTTGCCTTAATTCATGTTTAGCATTTTATTTGTAACCTTAGTACACTGAGCTACATTATATACACTGGTCATCAAAATTAAAGGATAATGAGAAAAAGATGCTCTCTACGATAATGTCGCAACTAGTGTCCAATGCTGTAATTATGTTAATTAAATACAATGAACACAAAACTGCACTTCCACACATACGTTAGCAGCAGAAATATGCAAATTCAATGATTGACAATGTAGTGCACAATGGATGGATGTTGGGATTCTGGTCTGTAGTGTTGTTTAAAGTAAATGTGATTCTGAGAGTAATCAGTATACAGTAGTTATGGCTCAAAGGCATTATTTAAGTGAAAGTCAAAAGTGGCAAATGATTGGTAGAATCAAAGGAGTCCAAACACAAATTGATGTCGCCTATGATTTGTATATCCCTCAAAGTGTCATATCAAGAGTTTAGAGCCACTTTTTAAGCAATGGATCAGTTGACAGCCTCATCAAGGGCATGCATCAGCAGAACACTGTCTATTGTTGTCGACTCGAAAAAAACCTCAAAGCAACTACAAGAGACTTAATTTTAGAGCTTCAGACTACCACAAAAACTCAAATTAGCTTTTCTGCTGTATGAAGGCTTAACGAGGTTGGACTGTAAGTGAGAAAAATCAATGGTTTGCATCCCACTCACTTCAGCTTCCAAAGGGATCCATTTGAACTGGTGCCATCGTCATGTTCAATGCAGCCAAAATTAATAGGCCTGAGTATTGTTTACCGATGTGTCCAAACATAATCTGACCAGTGATTCTAGATGTGCTTTGATCTAGAGAAAGGAAGGAACTTGCAACTTGTCGTCCCTTGTCTGTGAAATATCCCGTTTCCACGCTAGCGGTTTAATGGTTTGGGATGGAGTCGTAACAAATAGCTGCACCGATATGCATACCTTTCAAGGAGGTTCTCTAACCGCTCAGAGATATGTAGATGAGGTATTGGAACCCCAGATTAGACTGTTTAGGGATGCTGTTGGCCCCCGAGCTTTTGCTAATGGATGACAATGCTCGGCCTCATCTAGCATGTGGCGTCAGAGTACTTGCAAGCAGAAAATCTCACTCGAATGGACTGGTCACCTTACTCACCCAACTCGAACGCAGACAAGCATGTGTGGGATGCCTTACAGCACCGAATTTCAGCACGCCAAATTCCTCCCCAGATGATCCAGCAGCTGAAAAGTTCACTTTCAGAAGAGTGGCATGCAATTTCACAAGACATGAACAACACTTCAGTAAAGTCTATTCAGTAAAGTCTAAGTCAGTAAAGTCTAAGTCAGTAAAGTCTAGTTCAGTAAAGTCCTATGAAATCAAGATGTGATGTAAGCATATCTCTCCAAGGTGACCATACACCACATTAAAGGAATATAATTTTCACAAGAGGTGACTTAATATTTCCATCATTTTTCAATTTCTGTAGATTTGGTTTTAATTTCAATATTTTGCGAATAATCAAATGCCAAACATTGTAATTTTTCTTAACAAATGCTTTTGTACAAATTTCTATTAATAATTTTTATTAAATATCAGTTACATTTTATTTGTCATTATCCTTTAATTTTGATGACCAGTGTATATGATATATGTACATTTACTTATTACATTCTGTATGCTTAAGAAAAAATTTTTCTAAAGCCAATATTTCACACACTCTTGAATGTTGTTTATAATTATTACATACAAATATCATTCAGTATAATCTTAGAAAATGTGTATTGTTCCTTTACTTGCATTGCTTGAGAATCCCAGTAGCTCATTTATTTATTATAAAAAAGCAAAAGAAATCCCTATCTTACTTAAAATTCATGTACTGTGAAGTCTTGCACAAAACTTTTTTCTAGAAACTAAATTAGTCTAAAAAGGGCCCACTACTTGAGACACATTTCACCCAAACTGCTCATAATTACAAGATCTTAAAAGGAAATGCAACTGTGAAAGCTTCTGTAGAAATAGTCCTCAGTTTAAATTCTGGCTACCAGTATAATTTTTTTCTCTTCTTTTTAATTCCAATGACACATTACAAGAGAACTGAACATCAAATAAAATACAGAACAAAGACAAGAAAATTTACATCATATAAACTCAGGACATTCCTCAGCACCCAGTGGTGTTCCTAAATCGAAATATGAAGAAGGACAGGGCTTTTGCAGAGATGAGGTAAATCCATATCTTTCTGCCATAAGCATCCTTAAGACTGCATAAGGGGCAGAGTCAGGAGTGACGCTGATGCATTGAAGGTGCTTCGAAGGCAGTCATGATCAGATATAAGACAAAACAATGCAACAGATTTCTTTCAAAACTATTTGGGTACTTCAAGAATATCTAAACCATGATTTATTTCTATTTCTCTCTATGGGTTCTTGGATAAAGGAATCTCTAAAGGCTTTCCTAACAAATGACTTAATACAGTCGTAGGGGGAGCCCAGGCTATTAAGTCTGAAGGACAAAAGCTCCATTTTTAGGCAAGAAATCAGCCACCTCATTACATGAGTGAATTCCACAATGGACAGGAATCCATTGCAGCACAACCTCTTTGTCATTACTTGAGAATCAGTTAAGCAAATCGAAACAGTAATTGATAATTGACGAGAAGACTCAATCTGTAAGTCAATAGCTTGAAGGGTGGCTCTGGAATCTGATAATAGGACCATCTTTAAAAAATGCCACAGCCAAGTCTACAGTTGTAGCAGAGCTCAGTGGATGGCCACAATTTCACCTCAAGAGTAGTTGAATATGGGTCAATGGATGCATATAAAGATAATAACTCACAATAAACACCTGCACCAGCATTAGTGAGATCACCCATGCTAGAACCATCAGTATACATTTGCAACCATTCTGTTTTCACGGAGTAAAAATTTGTAGTTTCATATGCCAAAGCTTTTGAGCACATTTTCATTAGTCTCGGTTTTGAACAAGGTCTTTTGATCAAGTACAAGGCGGATGGAGAAACCCTTTTTTCCAGTAGGGTTATGAGGTAATTAGAAATGCTCAACCTCAAAATTTAGGTTCAAACTTGAAATCACTTCACAAACTCCATAGAGAAAACCTTTTTGTGCCTTCAGATTCTACTCAGGCCCAAAGGAAACCTGATCCCAAAGGTTTCATTGACTGCTATTAGAAATAGAGAGATCTTAGAGCCCTATGTTCGACTTTTCAGGGCACAGTTGATCCTGGGTTTCTGTTGATTATGACAACGCTCACCCACGTAGGGGATAATTCGTTGACAATTACCTGTCCCCTTACCCTAGAGCACCTTAATCTTATACAGCATATTCGGGATGCTCTTAAGGGGGCAATTTCATTTTGCCATCCCACAGTTAACAACAGCCTTGCTGCAGGATTGGAAGCAACCGTCACAGGGACTCCTCAACTGCCTCCTGTCTAGCTTGCCATCATGCTGAGTAACCTGTTTGGCTGTGAGAAGGGACCATACACCATATTAGACTCATTTTCAGTTCAATATCACAGCATGGATTTTGGACAACCCTGCACTATAACCTATCCAAATAATTATAACAACATAAAATAACTTTTGAATGGTATCTCTCTTTCTCTGGTATAAACGTATATTCCTACCAAATTTCATTATAATCTGAAAATTAGTTTTTTTAGAAATTTGACATAATGTACAATTTTTTTTAAATTATGCACATGAGTGTAATTATAAGTTGTACAACTTATAATATCATATACATGATAATGCACTTGCAAGTGATCCATGAGCTTACTTCTTTGGTATACTGCCCAAGTATCACTTTGTGTTTCCCCTGCTGCAGACATAACCCATGTAAGACCACTACACTAAACATCAAACAGTATTGTTAACCAGCAAAAATAAACATTTGCTAAAAAAGCATCTGAGAAAATAAATAATTCTGCATTTCCAATACACATGAACAAAAATATAAATGCATTTCCCAGCCAATTTCAATGCTCAAAAGTTTTAACAAACAATATTAAGTCTGATATTATATACATAATGCTAGATACGTGAAAATAATGCAAATCAAATACTCCAAATGAGTCAACAGAATTCAGTCATGCTGTAAAGGATAAGTGAGGGGAGGGAGATACCTCAGGTAAAAAAATTCAAAGGGATGCTTAACAAAAATATAATAAATTAAATATTCACATGAAAGTAATAAAGACACTCTTTTGCAAAAAAAAAAAAATCGAAGCACAAAGAAGGACTTTTGTGATTGTGATGAAATTTGGTATGCAAAAACATCTTGATTGAACATGAAAATGATCAAAGTTTCAAGACAAACGAACTGGAATTGGGATCATAGCGCACATTTCTAGTGCACAATTCACAAAGTATAAAACCAGTAACAGACGCGGAAAATTTATCTTTTTTTTTCCCTGCCATTGTAATTCTGTAACGAAGTAACTACAGATGCCATTACAATATCGAAGACCTTACAGACAACTAAATGACTTTGAATGTAGTCGCATTGTAGGGTTGAGTGAAACTGGGTGGTCATACCGAGCAATAGGCCACCGCCTGCAGAATACAGACACTGCTGTGCAAAGATGTTGGCAGCAATGGTTGCTACAAGGAAATTGCCGACGAAATGAAGGCTCTGGAAAGCCAAGAATTACAAATGCGAGGCAAGATAGGAACAGCCCCAATGGTATCACTGTCGACTATTCAATGCACTACAGCTATGTCTATACCTTCTGTGGTACCATCCACCATCTCACGGAGCTTGTCTGAGGCAGGGTTACACTCACAGAGACCTTTAAGACATTTGCCTTTGACCCCACAACATCGGCAGAGTCGTTTGGAGTGGTGTCACAGCTGATCATCATGGCTGCCACCAGACTGGCATCATATAGTATTCCGCGATGAATCCCGCTTCACTCTTGAAGCGGGATTCACCACCATGTTGGTGTCTGGAGAGGCCCGGCCAGCGGTCCCAAACAGCCTTTCTTTTACAAAGGCATACAGCCAAATAACCCTGGTGTGATGGTGTGGGGTGCTATTTCTTATAACAGCAGATCAGCTTTAGTCATCCTCCATTCATCTTTAACAGCTCAACGATATATTGATATCATCCTGCGGCTGGTTGCATTACCCTTCATAGCACGTCATCCTGGGGCCATTTTCCAACAAGACAATGCCAGGCCACATAAAACTCACATATCTCTGGACCGTCTCTGTGCGGTTGATGCTCTTCCTTGACCAGCTAGGTCACCAGACCTTTCAGCAATCAAGCATGTCTGGGACATGATAGGCTGCCAGATTCGGGCGCCACAAAATACTGCAGATCTGGAGCAACAAGTGATGAATGCCTGGCAGAATGTGTTGCAGGATGACACATTAGGGACCCTCTACCCCTCCTTGCCTTGACGAATTCAAGCATGCATTGCCGCCAGGAGCGGTTCGACCAACTTCTAATTGGAACACTCAATGTGTGATTGTGAGCCATGAACAGGTACTATGACCTTGATTTTTTAATCATTTTATTATCTGTGCATGAGGTATACATATTCAATTTCATCAAAAACAACCACTTCCTTCATGGTCAAGGCTTCATGGCAAATGTCAAATATATGTTAGCATGGCTCCACAGAAGTCATTCATATATTTAGGTGCTCCAAATTTATTAAACAATAACTTAATATTTAATGTTACTTTCTCAAGTACTGGAACTCCTGAATTAAATACCTACTTATCCTAAAAAATCCTAGAGTTTACAATAAAAATAAGCTTCATATTAAAATTTTACAGTTTTTACATCTGCTTACTGCAAAAATCCATATCTGTCAGTAACATGATAAACTTCAAATCCAGGATCTTCCCAAGGATATATATGAAAATTATCATTGCGACCTAGTTCATATTTTGCAACTATCGCCGCCCTCTCCTCCTCGGGTGCTTCATATGGTTGCCTACAATCACCTAAGAAAATAAGATCACATTTCAAAGGTGAAAAAATTAATTAAAATAACATAAGCTTTTATATCCAGGAAAATATCACAAAATTTTACAGATTATCTACATAATACACACACTGACCTATGAATTAGAAAGCTTTGATATTTTCATTTGAATGTGTGCTATGGATGAAGTATACATTTTTTTTTTTTTTTTAATGATGTTGGTTATACATGGTTAGAATGCTTGTATTAAGAAAGGTGTAAGAGTGCTTTTCATGATGAATGAAGTAAAATAGGAAAAACAACAGATCTTTCACCATTAGAAAAAGTGCTTATTGTTGGCACCCATTTAGCAGAGGCCTCGATTACGAAAACAGCAAATCTCACTCGATTCTCAAAAGCAGCCATATCAAATGTTTTTAAAAGCTGGAATCAGAACCCACAGTCCTTCTCTTGAAGATGTTACTGTGGTTCGAGCACAGTTTCCCAAGATAATGATCAGCGTCATCTCCAATGAATTGTATGGCAGAACAGGGACTCTATTGTCCTTCAACCTAAACAGATCATCAATCAGGGCTCTTTCTAACAGATTTCAGTTCGAACCATGCACAGAGAATTGCAGAGCACAGCAATGCTTAGTCGGGTGCCTGTGAGAAAAGAACCTCATTTCTCTCAACATGCAAGAATTCATTTGCAGTGGTGTCGGGAAAGAAGACACTGGACATCTGAGGATTGGAAATGGGTAATGCAGTAGGATGAATCATGCTACACCTTATTTTGCACTGATGGAAGTCATCAAATTTGGCGAGAACCCCATGAAGCCATCTTACTTGCACTCTGCAAGGATCTGGTACGAGTATCATGGTATGGGGGCCTGTTCTGCTGGCGTGGAAGTTGCACCCCGGTGTTCCTCAAAAGTAAACAAACAAACAGCCATGTGATACCTAGATACAGTCAAAAGTCGTTAATCCGGACTCGTCGGGACTTCGGCGATTCCGGATTATCGATCATCAGTTTAAATCTCGTAAGATGGCATGCAGAAATTCTAAAATTAAAAATATGAAACCTTAATTTATGAAATAAAGAACAATTATAATCTAAAGGGTATCAAAATTTACAAAAAAAAAAAAAAAAAAAAAAAAGCTTAATATTTATTTGTTTACTTTATTAAACATTTCTTTCAATGTAAGTTGTTTTAAGTTGCTTCGTTTTATGTGATAACACTTTCTCTTTAATTTTATAAACAGACACAATTTCTTGTTCAGTTACAAAGTTCCGCTGTTCAAGTCCCGTTAATTGTTGTGCCGAGAATACCGACTAACTTGTCAATCGAAATTTTTTCGTTTTCACTAACCTCTCTGTACATTCGTCATGTCTTTATCCATTTTTTGCAGCAATTCCACTTTTTGTTTGATGGACATCGAAACATACTTTCGTTTTGTACGATCCTTTGGGAGCTCCAGAATCGGAAATTCTATTTGACATAATCGAAAGTTCAAATTTACTTTTATAAAATTGCGCTTACAATCTGCAAAAAATAATAAGCCGGATCCAATTCGAAGATTAAGGAACAACGCAATCATCAACATTAACTGAAATAGATAATTAGATAATTTTAGATTATACCGTCCGTTATACATAAAACGCGCACGCGAAAACGTATTCTGCGCTTGCGCACATGCATATGCGCAGTGGTAAAAGGTCTTACGCGCACGCGTAAACGCCTATGCGCATTTTGTCAACGCGGCGCATGCGCAGAAAGTTTTTAGCTTTGAGGTCCGTATTATAGATCATTCCGGATTATGGGTGTCCGAATTAACGAATTTTGACTGTATAATGTCAGATCAAGAGCACACTGCAATGTTGCATTTTTATCCTGATGGTGGTGGATACTTCATGGATGATAATGCAACTATATATCATGCCAGAAGTGTTCAAAATTGGTTGACCATCAGTCTGACTTCCAACATCTTCCCTGGCCACTGCATAGCCCGGATCTTAACCCCACAGAAAATGTGTGGGATATGGTCGAAAGGCGCATTTGACAGAAATCTCCTCTTCGATCTAATTTGCAAAATCTAAAAAGATGCATAGCCAATGTATGGTATTCTCTGGACGTAAATGCACCTCAGAAGCATGTAGGCTCAATGCTCAAATGTATCAGAGCAGTTATCCGTGCAAAATGTGGTCCAATAAAATATTGATCTTCGGTTTCTAATTCATTTGCCAGTGTGTGTACAAAATTATACAAAAAAAAAAAAAAAAAAAAAAAAAAATCTTTCAAGATGCATATTATAAAAATTCTGAGGAAGAATTACAAAATTAAAGTAACACTACTATACTACTTAAAAGTTTTTCAAAAGTCATCCAAGTTACTTTAAAATCGTACATTTTTTATGATTAATAAATAGTTTTAGAACAAATTAAAAATTGAAACACTAGAAATCAAATCCCCTTTGATTATGAAAAGTTTTACAATGTAAATGGCCTCTATTTTTGGCTTTTGAGCTGCTGAATTTTCTTGGATTAATTGAAAATGATTCAAGTGATGAATTATGAAATCCCCATGATAGTCATATGACATTGAAATGCAGACAGTGCATTCCCTTTCCGGAAAAACGATTTAATTTAAAACAGAAACTGTAAGAAGCATTTGAAATAAAGGGCTTAGTTATAAATACAGCAGCTATGGATGACATTTTTGTAAATGTTCTTTTTTGCTTAAAATATTAGATTTTGAGTTATTAGCCAATACTTTTATACCCTTTCATGATAAAATATAATATCTCTTTTATAATGAAAAAATATAAGCAAGAAATATTTGAAATAAAGAACCTGATGATAAATGCAGCAGTACTAGATGAAATTTTTGCAAATATTCCTTTTTGCTCAAAATGCTAGATTTCTGGATGTTAGATGATTTTATTCTTTTACACGACCCCCCCCACACACACACACAAAAAAATGTCAAAAATTCCCTTCGATTTTTTCTTTGTATTACAAAGTGAAAAATTTATGTACTGTAAATTTCTGTGTGTAAGTCACAAATTTTCAGCTAATTTTCTACTATCGGAGATTTTTGGTCAGCTTATACAGGAGTTGACACACATTAATAAATAATTTTATCAGAGAAATGATGTTAAATGTTAGCTAATAACTGAAAAAATATTATTTATGTTTTTTCAAATGTTAACAGAAAATGAATCAAGTTTTTTAATATCGGTATGCGACTGGGAATTTTCTCCAGATTTCAAATGAATGCCATGCTCTATTAACCATCAACATCATTGTCCTCTTCCTCTAGATATTTTCAGTTCCATTAATAATATTGCTGAGATAAAGTGATAACTTTTAGTTTAAAACTAGCAAAATACACTGGAATTCAAACTCCAGACCGAGGTACCAGTGTTCAACGACTTTAATGCTGGGCCCTATGAAATTTAATAAGTAAAGCTAAAAATTCCTGTTACAGTTCAGTACAAAGTCCGTAATCGGGACTCGTCGGAACTTCGGCGATTCTGGATTAAGGGTTTTTCCGGATTGTAGATCATCAATTTAAATCTGGTAAGATGGCATACAGAAATTATACAATTAAAAATATGAAACTATAATTTATGAAATAAAAAGCAATTATGATCTAAAGGGTATCAAAATTTACAAAATAAAAAAAAAGCTTAATATTTATTTGTTTACTTTATTAAACATTTCTTTCAATGTAAGTTGTTTAAGTTGCTTCTTTTTTTGTGCTAAACGCGCATGCGTAAAGCATACAAAAAAAAGTTGTGGCTTTGAGGTCCGGATTATAGATTATTCCGAATAATGGACGTCCAGATTACAGACTTTGTACTGTATTATCTTCAGCACACATTTCTGATATTAACATGAATTTGTATGATTTGCAGATGGTAAGCTTGAAAATTCAATAAAATATGATTTATAAAAGATTTTCCCCCTTCACTATATACTTTTTAACAAATATATTGCTCATTCTGAATTACAAATTAAATTTCATCAAAGAATGACAGAAGCATTTATTATTACTATAACAGCTGCACCCACCATTAATGCAACTGAACATGAAATAAAATATAACTTGAATAATTTATTTATTCATAAATTGTACTTTTATTTGAAAATTTAAAGATGGCATTTTGTTCAGAGAGACTTTTTACGCAGATAGATTTTTACTATTACAATTACTACATATATGTGTAGCTTCCATGAACTTTTTGTTTATGTTTACATTAAAAGATAAGATTAAGATATGGTAATAGTTTTATTATTTGATTACTTCATTGAATTCCCAGACACATACATATCATTTAAAAAGAATATATTACTAATTACATTTTCCTGTTACTTTGTTTTAACAGCTTAACTAATTACTAATTATTAAATGAAGAACTGAAGATGTTAAGATACGAGTTAAAAATTGCAGATTTTCAATTATTTGGAGTTCAGATGTCCAGAACTCTCTACTATCCCGATCAATTATTCTTTCTAGACCAAATAAAATTAAGCTTTTGCTACTTTATGTATTTGCCTTTTTCATGGATTTAAATAATGTAAAATAATAAACACAGCACGTACTTTTTTTCAAAATTATTAACTTCATTTAGACAAATACAAATGAGAAACAAATTGGTCTATTATGCTGTGCATTTCTGCTACAAATTTAATAATATGTGTTAAAATGTTAATAGTATTTTAATATAACATTTATGCATCATGCTCTCTGCAAAGAAAGAATAACAATTTTGTTTTAGCATAGTAACTGCAGCTTATCAACTCATAAACAAAACTACATTTTAGTTTTAGGGGTTGCATACATAAAAATTCTATTGTGTAATTTTGTCTGTAAAATGTGTTTTGTATATAGTTTTATGGAGATAATACTTTAATTTCTTAGCTTTAAAATTAATCTTAACTGAAGCAAAATCTGATAAAAGAAAAAGCAAAAATTCCTCAGTTGCATTGCAATATATGCGCATTTCACTTACACGAAAAAATTAATCAGTTATTCAGATGTGCTGTCATTCCAGTTGATCTAGACATCTAGAGTTCTACAGTACTGAATAATAACTTTACACAGCTAAAAACTCTGAAGAAAGAGCCCGTGGAGAACTCTTAGATAGCAAAAATATCCAAAAAATTGCACTAGAAGCTTTCCCCCTCACGTCCATTATGAATGAATTTGTGACTGGGCAGGCCAGCCCTTCGTTTGTAGCCATCATTGAAGCATGAAAGTGATCCCACTCATGTCCCATTATATTGCCTGACTTTCAAACTAGCATACTTGCTATCACTGTGGAATTTCACTTATGATTCTTCTTTGATTGCATTGAATGACTTGCATGTGATGTTTATCTTTTTTTATTTGTGCATATGTATTAAGGTAACATATTTTTCTAACCTAATTAAAGTACTAGGTGGTGCTTCATCAAAACATGACTAGAAAGGATACAAAAAAACATGTGCTCCATGGAACAAGGAAAAGAGCGTTATCTGCAAAGTAAATATATTACAGATCCGTATATAAAACCTAAAACGTACTATATATTAAAAATTTTGTTTTTGCTCTGAAGTGTCATAATATCACTTGTTGGATTACATCATTTCCTCATGTATTTCTTAGTCTATGTTCTTCCTTCAAGCAAAACCTCCATGGTGCGTATGCCAAACTTGTTTATGATATCACGCTTTGACTACTATCCGAGTTCTTTAAACCATCCTCGACTCCAATCGAACCGTAGTTATAACATACTTTCTCCTGACTTTCCGAGAAGCGAAGAAAACATTAACTCTTACATCATGGCACAACAGAGTAACCTCATTCATACACTGATCACTTGCTATCATGTGTTTGTGTGTAACTGCGCAGTAAAACCTCTGCTCAATCCTCCATATGATGGTCTCTTTAAAGTCAACGTAGCAACAAACATTTCACCGTACTCATGCGTGACAAAAAAATTGTCCTAGGAATCAATCAATTCAAGCCTGCATTCTTTGAAGCTTCCAATCGTGGGATCCCTGTGATCAGTTATTCTCCCGCTTTGGATCCTTCTACTTTTCCAGATCCTCCTACTTCACTCAATTTTCCATTTCTTCCCAGTGCTCCACTGGTAGTCACTGACTCGAGAAGATGTGTCCACTTCAACAGATATTTGACTTCTTTCTTCATACCTCTGGCACCTGGGGGGGGGGAGATACTATGGAGAACTTTTAGACTGCAGAAAAAAAACCAAAAGTGGTACTACTAGGTTTCCACATTCATAAGGTTGGGGTGACTCTGTGAATGAACATGGCAGTCCCTTGATGGCATCAATCACTGAAGCTTAGAGGGGGCATTGCTCATGTCCTGTGATACTGTGGTATTAGCATACTTACTACCACTGTGGAATTCCACCTATGATTCTTCTTTAATTGTATTGAATGACTTACATGTGATGTTTATCTTGTTATTTGTGCTTTTCTACTAAGCTAATATTTTTTCTAATCTAATTAAAGTACTAGATGTAAAACCAGGCATATCATCTTCATGCATGCATTAGAGCATATCTATGTGAAATAGTGACTCTGATCTTGACTAAGGTAAGACATGACAAGTCTGAGGTAAAGTTTGTAAAAGTTAACTAAACCCTTTGTTTTGAAACTTATGTTACAGGAAACCACTGTTACTGACTTACCCTAAGGTAATCGGCTTTGTGTACACATACACAGATAGCTCATAGTGTCTTTTATCACTTCTTTTAATAAAATGGTAAAAATGGGAGTTCAATCTTTAGGATGCAGAATGTACCAATTTTGCAATTTAATTACATTTTCAATTTCTCTTACGAAAGAAAACATACTTTTTATAATGAAATTTAAGATCTATAAATAATTTTTTAATATTTTGCACACATACAAATTCTGTTTATGTAAATTAGAAGTAAAACATTACACAATCAACATATGCATATGAGAGTCAAACCCGATTTCTTTTACATGCAAATGAGCAAACTACCTGTGTGAATGAAGCTGTTAGTTATTTTCTACTAATATCCACATTAGTATCTTTTAACTATGCCCCATAAAATAAACACCTGTTAATTTATATGATAACATTTCTACTTACTCATCCTGCTTTATACAGCAGGTTATCACATTCTCATAGCCTCATCATCAAGAAAGCTGAAGATCAACCTACATCCATCTGGCAAAGGAAGGATCTGAAAATAAGAATTATATTCAATATTAAAATCTTATTAATTATAAACAGGCAGAATAAATAGCTGTGAATGTATAAATAAAAATTTTGACATTCAAAATTCGAGCTAAAACTAAAAATTCATAGAAGTTAAATATACAAACAGAATTCACCATTAATTCAATGTATGTTTCAAGAATTACCATTCAACTTAGAAACAATATGATCACAAATATTTGTTAAAACAAACCAACTTTTTTAGTATTAGAGATTTCAAATGAAAATGAAAGACTAGCCTTCTCAGTTTAATCGAACTTCAGTTTAAGAAATATATGGAATTTTTTATGTTGAAGATATTTTATTACTGAAGAGGAAAACTTTCAAAAGAAGGAAAAGAGGGACTACTCTAGAATACATGATTATATATAATAAGGTTTTGAAAAGAAATATAAGTTATAACATACTTATGCAATCTTATATAATTATTACATCATGATATTCAAAATTAAGGTATCAAACACAAGCTGTACACAGCGGTATAAAAAATTTCCATATTAACTAGCTCAATAGTGTTCAAATAAATGGCAACATAGGCCTGTACTTGCAGCTATAGAGACCTTCAATCCCTGTAAAAAAAAAAAAAAAGTGTGCCAACAGACAAACTGTGTTAATATCAGGAGTTGATATAGTAATGTTTTTGTGTTGTGTATGAGTTAGTATGTGATTATATCATGGACAGGATGTTGAACAACGAGCCAATGTAAAATTTTTGCGTTAAGCTGGGAAGACAGGCCATAAAGACATTGTACATGCTTTGACAAGTTAATGGTGATCAGGCAATAAATTGTATGCCATGTCTCAAATGCCATATGCAATTCAAAGGCAGAAGAACATCCCTTGAAACAATGTGAGATTTGAAAGCACTTCAGCAATCATCACCCCCAAAAATGCGAAACAAATTCAGGAAGTTATGCACATTATTAAAAGAGTGCAGGAGGTAGATCAACAATATTACAGGTGAGTCACATAGGTGAGGTCAATGCTGATAAGTTTAACATCGTAACTAAACATGCAATGAATTTCTGCCAGGTTTATCCCTTGACTGCTGATTCTTGGACAGAAAGAACATTACAACACATTATTGAAGATGTCCATGAGTGAACTACGGATAATCCGTCCTTCACGTTCAGTATTATCACTAGTCTTGGGTGTATGGATACATCTCTGAGATATATCAGTAGTGAATTTAACATGAATGAAAGATGGGAGAAACCATCATCTCCAAGACTAAAGAAAGCAAGAATGAGCCACAGTGCAATGAAGACCATGCTCATCCTGTTTTTTTTTTACATCAGTGGCATAGCGCAAAAAAATTTATCTGCATGTTGTAAGCCATTAAAATATATGTGTAGTTAATTGTTGTTCATGTGTCATGTTAACTTTTTGCTCGAGAATTATAGAAAGAGATTTAATTATAACCCGAAATTTTTTTATGATATCTTCTGCAACACAATAATTGATCGTGGATATTCTGATTCAATGTAGAGGCCTTGATCTTGTCAGTTGGATGTGGTGCCTCTAAGAATGATGGACAAACAGATTTGGCCTAAGTCTATAGAACAAAGTATTATCGTTAAGCTTTTATTGAGGAAAGCATCCTCAAGTTTGACCACAGTTTATGGACAACATGGAGAACATTGCCATAAACATATGAGTGATGTATAACCATTATAGATTCAGTCCCCTGTATTTCTCATAGTCCCCTGTAATTCTTGATACAATCTAATTGTATCAAGAATTGCATACCCCCTCAAAACACCTTATCTGAAAAGCATATAAAACATCTTTCAGAAGGATGGGAAAGATGCACTCAGAAAAGGTGGGTTTCTTCAAAAAATGACATATTTTGGAAGCATGTACTCATTCTATATTTTCAGTTATTCCATTCATCCAAATTATATTCGAATGCCTTAGTATTAGTTTTAACCACTTAGCCACTGATACAAAAGTAATACAAGTTCGCCCAATAAAGACTGTTACAGGAATTTTTATATAAGCAATTCAAAAACAGCAGCTGAAGCCAAAATAATAATAATAATAATAATAATCATACTCTTTTCAAGAAGTTACCTTTGAAATGCGATTACAGTTACCAGGACGATTAACAGGGCACTTCTAAAAATGTTACGCCCGTTTACTGAGAAAAGATGAAAAAGTTACACTGATCTTAAAAAAGAAAATTCTAACTTAATCTTTTATGCGACTTTGAGCTCAGTGGTACTCTTAAGTTTTGTAAATATTTTTTTTTTTTTTTTTCATGCCATTCATAACTTTTTTTTTTTTTTCATTTCTAATGATATTTACTACACAGTAATTTATAACCTTTTCTGTTAAAAGAAATTTTGATTTAATGCTGATTTAATTTATAGTGCGTTCAATTTAGTTTTAACGTGGATTTATTTATACTGCGGCCAATTTAAAGAATTTTTGCTTTAAATACTAATTTGATTTACGTAACTAAGTGAACTTATTCCAAAGACTGAACTGCTTAAAAATAAACGTAAGTGTCTAATAATATTTTTTCTAACGTCGGTTATTCCTCTTTCCCGTTTTTTTTTTTTTTTTTTTTTTAACTACTTTCAGATTAACCGTCATTTTGCATTAACTGCGCACGTCATTAACCCCCATATTATCCCGGTTATCGTAAGCCTAATGTATTTCCTAAAGAGGTACAGAGAAAGTTAAAAAGGTGAAAGAATTTAATTTAAATACTTCTCATAACATTATTCGTTGAACTATCGATTCTTGTTTTTCTAGAAACAACACAATTTATATATAAAAATCATAAAATTAGGTATTTCAACAGCACAGAAATGGAAACTGTGACACAAAACGCTCACTCATACCGACAAGGGAAAAAATAAATAAAAATGCTTGCACTTTAGATTAAAAAAAAAAAAAAAAAAAAAAAAAAAAAAAAAACTTCGTGTATTTTAACACAATTTATCGGTTGGTCTTAAAGTTATCAATACAAATTTTAAAAAGCCTAAATACCAAAGTAAAAATGTGACGTATCAGATGACCCTGGCTGTAAGCCAGAAATTCGCCCACAAGGAATAGGAGAACTAGCATATTACAACTACTGAAGATATTGCAACAGAAAAACAAAAGGGTGTTTGTCTTTAACAAGGAATATAAAGGCTTTTTGAATAAATAAAATGGAAAACTGTACATGAGTCTGAAGCCTCTGAAAATGACACGAAGGTGTAAAATCACAGCGATATACGAAAATATATGCATCCCTCCTCTCAAAGAAAATGAATCTAATCAAATATTTTTAAAATAAATTCTACACATTCGGTATTAAATTATACCTTAAATTCTACACATTCTTTTCTATGATTAAACACATTCGGTAAGAAATACGCAAAGACGATGATCTAAAAAATATGAACAAGTTTACGAAAATTGCATCATTTAATCGGTAAAAAAGTAATTTTATTCAGTCTACGTATTTCAGATCAAGAAAATAATGGCAAGACAAATACTTAGAAATGTTTTAATTTCAAAATATTACTTGAAAGTTTTCTTGAAGCCAAATATATCGCATAGAAAGCTTTACGATGGGAAAAAATATAATCTGGCACATATTCATTACAATATAAAATTTTAGCTTATATTATCAATTACTAGTTTTAATGTTTAAAATTCTATTAATTAATTAAATTCAAGTTAAATACCTTGAAATATACTCAGTAACTTCAAATGTGTTCAGTAATACTCGTTTAACAGATTCACCAACATGCATACTTTACTGATTTCATAATTATTCAAATTAGAATGCTTCATGTTAAAACGTTTATTGAAATTAAAATGTATTACTGATGCGTTATTAAGCCCAAAATGCGATGCGATAGATTTGCCACCCAGGTATGAGAGGAAACACCGTCTGAAAAGAAAACAACGCGACGATCATCGCTTGATATCAAATGCGTCACGTTTGACCCTTGAAGTAATGAATATTGCACTTTAGTGACAGATTTCATTTTTTTAAATAAAATTAATCCCCAAATGTCAATGCGTTATTTTAAAAAAATTGAATAAATCACGATATTAATTTGCTTTTCAAGGAATTTTTCCCATTAAACCTTGAACCTTCAGTTAAACATACATAAAATACAGCAAATTACAAGTAACTGCATTTTATATCAATTATAATACATTCATACTGTGACATTCATCGCCGAAAGATAAAGCGCACGCGAAAATCTCAATGCTGTTCACGGTGCATGTGTCAATTAAATTAGTTAATTTGTTTTTATGGCATAAGTTTGTTACGTTAAGAGAAACCATTAAATACAAAATTGGTTTAAGGTTCACAGAATTTTGTTACTCCACTGGACTTAAATATTAAACCAAAGCACATTCGCATATCTCGTCTTTGCTTTCCAAAAAATAAATAAATAAAATAAAATAAATGAAAAACTTTTCGAAAGTCAGTATGTTAGTAACTACACAAATCTTTAAGCCCACTTCTTATACATATATTAAAAAGAAAAGAAACAAATAAAAAGGAAAGTAACAAGTTAAACACCAAAAAAGGCTTCACAGGGCTTGTCATGACACAAAAGCACTTTAGCCACTCAGCTATTTCAGATAAAAAAGTTGATCTCCTTTCCTGTAGCGCGAATTATCACATCAAATGCACTGTCGGGCGTTTTTTTAAGACTGTTCTCGTCGGAGGGGGGAAAAATCGCTATAATAAGAACCACATAAATGTGTTAACATTTCGTCTTTTTCATCTGCATGCTAAGCAAATAACAAGGTGAAGACCGGGTATTTTAATAATAAATCATTAATATAAGTACAAATCATGTATACAGAATACGTTTTTATATGCCTTTTTATTCAATCACAGTAAGCTGTGGGGTAGCTAGTAATTCTTAAAACAAGTTGATCCTTAAAAAAAAAAAAAAAAAAAAAAAAAAAAAAAAAACCATGTTAATATAAAACATGGTTTAT